TAATAAAGATAATGTGTAATAGGTTTTGTTTGTGGAAACACCACGTAAATTTATTACTGCAAAGCTTTCGATCCGTAAGCCCGGATCTTCATCAGTGCTAATAATAACATATTATTAGCACTGATGAAGATCCGGGCTTACGGATCCGGGCTTACGGATCGAAAGCTTTGCAGTAATAAATTTACGTGGTGTTTCCACAAACAAAACCTATTATATTTTATCACCATGCAAACATACAAAGAACTTAAGATAATGTGTGTTTTACAAGTGTTTTTTATATATCAATCCAATGGCATGTAACCTAAAATTCAGCAGTGTCTGTGTAATGAAATACACCCTAACTTCTCAAATATGGTCAAATTAACTATACTACATTGCACATAATATATGGAGTGGTTCAAAAATATATTGAATTTATATTAGTGAACTGGTGAACTATTGATGTAGAGATTATGCCAAGTATAGAATGGCACAAGGACTTATCAGCATGATTAAATCGTGAGATTGTGCAAATAATCTTGGTAAATCTCTTAGAGATATCCTCAGCAGCTACATTTTAAGGTAAAATGACTATGGTAAAGCTATTCAAGGCAAAAAAGCAATGGATCTGTCAACCTCGTTGTCAACAGTAAATTTAGCTAAGTTTATGATCCATTTATTGCCGTATTTTAGCTGAGAATTCATTTAAGACAATGCAGTACGATAGACTTACTTTGAATTTATGATATATTCTTTTAAAATGGTCACCAAAGCTCTAAAACTCGATTGGTATCGTTTTAACTTCCTCACTCCTTAATGTTTACATGTAAATTTGTCAAATTACACTTGTTTAGGGCACTGGAAACGAGACACGGCCAAGATGCGCGAGGCGACATGCGCGAGGACATCAACATCAAAGATTCCGACATCGAGTGAGACTTCTGGTCTTATTATTTATTTTGTGATGACGCCATGTCGACCAGCCACACCAATGTTGAATTGCATGATTGCAGAGGCAGCTGCTGTCTCAACAGATTTTATCCCTCTGTTCCTATGTTTATGGCATCTGTTCCACACAAGTGAGTTGACAGACTCATTAGCATTCTGTGAGAGCCCTGGTAAGCACCTTTTCAGCAGCTTCTTCTCACTAAGTCGGTCGAATAACGGTATTAAAAATTCTAAAAAGACTGGATCCAGATGGTGTGACTTGTCGAGAAAAGGAGTATTGGTTCCTACTGCTTTGTCTCTCTTGAATGAACACCAGGAACTTTCTCCATCAGGACAGTACTGATGCCTCTTCTTTTCATCCACAATCTTCACGCTGTGGTACAATACTCCTTTTATCGCACATTGCATTCTCTTTACTGCATCCTCCACTTCTTGTTTACTTTTCGCTTTTTTGTCCACGCACCGTCTAATAGCATTGCCATAATATTTCTGCAGTTTGTCAATCATAGGCCTGGTGAGTCTTCCTGCTCTTCCTCCCACCGGTTTACCATCTGCGAGCTTTGACTTTCCAGACAGAGCTATCAGGTTTTTGCCCATACGCTTCTGCACATGTCCGACACAATCAAGCTTGCTAACCCGATGGCAATTTTCATTGCTTGTGCTATGTTCTCTCTCCCAATTAGCATGTGCTTTCGATTTCAACCACTTTTGGTACTCTGCTGACTGTTTGTCCATATTTTCATATTTCTCACAATCATCACAAACCCCATATATATCCCACACTTCTCCATATGCCTTGCTATCACCATCACATACCATATCAATATACCGGAACTTGTGAAGCCCCTTTTGCTCCATGTACCATCAAATGACACGGCAACATCAAGAATTTCTGCATCATCCTTCTGCAGGAATGTGCGTACTCGATGGCCGGCATCGTTCAACCTTTCTTCCAAAACTTTTTGTGTTGCTAAGTTCACCGAGCGATTATGTTTTTGATAAGCACTATCACTTACTGGGGGTGGCATATTTAAAATTTCGCAAATGGTTGCAAGAGCCTCTCTGCCTAAGCCCAACTCACCCATGGCAAAATTCGTTCTCCGATTTACATCAAAAGAACGAGCTTTTCCCTCGACTGGCTTCGAAGTATCCATGTCCACTCTCTGTCTACATTTCGTGCATTCAAAATAGTAGCTGCTGCTCAATCCAGCACGTTTTGAAGCATCTTCACAAGTTATGATTGTCCCATTCTTACATTTGTGCATCATTTCAACAGCTTTCCGTATGTTCTCAATATAAACAATCCGGTATCCGTCTTTTTCCTCTTGTGAATTCTGTCTTGTAAATTCGGGAGTTTGGGGTAGTTCAGAACTAGCATTCTCCAGTTTTCGTGCCGATGTTGACTTTACAGTAACCAAATCTTCGTTATTTATCACTCGATCTTGAGTAATTGCGTTTTGTTGGCTGGCAGATTGAGAGCCATTATTTTCGCCATCTTTGCGCAAATCAGCGAAACGTTTCCCTTTGAAAAGGTTTTTCTTCGTTGATTTGTTTCTCACACGCAACTTTGTGCCTTCTTTAGAACCTTTTGGCATTATTACAAGCAAAAAATACAACAAAATATAGCGACAAAATAGCGATTCAGCAGAATATATTCTCAAACCTGTTTCGAATGTTGACCACAGTATGCAAATCAGAATGTAAATAAGCAAAATTATGCAATAAGCATGTACCTATGCCCCCCTCGTATCCCTAATACACACATTTAGCATAGGTAGCCCTATTCAATATTTTTACATCAAAATGGCCCAGAAAAACGGCCTTTTCAGAGGTTTTTTGAATTCCGTTTCCATGGTAACCAGCTGCAAACAATCGACAGATTTTCAGGTTCTCTACCAAAAGTCTATTTTTTAATGGTAAAACGCATAAAAATTAAAAAAAAACATCAGTAGTTGATAAAGTACATGTTAAGGTATACTATTATGTTTTTAAAATTTTGATATTTTTTTCCAGTATCACCAAATTTCTAGGTGAAGCTCCCGCTGAAACTGACTTTGGTTTTTCAATTTTCATAAAAATAATTTTTTTAAAGTTCTGCCATCTTATTTTGTAAAATTGTTTAACTCGTTAACTGGCAAGCTGTTACAATGTTACCAACCCCTAAAGTGGCAAGCAATATGGCGAATTCATGATTGAATTCCAAGCTTTCATCAAAATGGCAATATCTCAGAAACAATTGCATAAAAAAGTCTGATCTTTTCAACCAAGCATGAGTGATATATCATTGACCAAATTTAGTTTAGATGACCTTGCATACCTATATATATATATCATTAGTTTTTTCAGTCAGTATTTTTATTTATGTCTGTCATCTTGCGCGAGTGAACTATACTATTTCCTGACATGTCGCACTATAGATGTTGCATTTCCGCAGCTCGTTACTGGGCACTTGTTTTGCCGTATTAATTAAAATTGAAAGAGCCAAACGCGAGTTTGGGATATTTTGAGTTCTCATAAGCAAACATAATTACAAAATTTCAACTAGTTTCATAAAGAATAACGAAAGATATAATTGACTGAATACATCAAAATGGATTTCTATTCAGACAACCCTTTCTGAGCGCTGATTGGCTAAAATACGAACACGAGATCACCTGGAAGGTGAGGGCAAAAATTACGCCAAAGCATCTTCGCGCAGCGACGATGCACCCCACCCAAGGAAAATGCAACCTCCATGTGTAACGCCATAAAATAAAAAAACGATAAACCACCGCCCTTGCAAATGGTTTGTTAACTCTAAGCATCGAGGCCTTACTTCAACTTGTTCGAGTAAAAGAAATAAAAACCTTTCACAAACAATCGCCCGTGCAAACTGTTTGCGGTCACCTGATATGCCCCAAAATTTATGTGGTCTAACCCCTAACGATCGCCCGTGCAAACCGCGGGAGATTAGACGCACACAATATAGATAGTTATAAGTACTAATATAATTAAATCTTTACCATATACTCAGTGTCAATTGACTGTGAAAACGAATGCAAGACGTCATACTCACTTGGTGACCTCGTGCATTGATTATTCTATTTATAAAGCAGTGACACTTTGTTTTTCATGTCACTTATCACCTAAAGGGGCAATATCTCCATAAATTTATATAAAAACAAAAAAAAATCATTTACTAAATGAATACATATATCTATATTACAACCAATTTTCATCTTCTGGGATATGAATTACAAAATTATCAAAAAATTTAAAAATTACTTCTTTGCTTTTTTGGGGCATCTTGTTTACAACATGAAATTTAGAACA